TGCCTGGTGTGAACAGATGATGAAACTCACAGTCGAGCTAAACTTCTGTGGAAAGATGACAGATGTTGAGTCAGATGTTAAAACAGATGAGACTCAGATTTGGTCACAGCATTGATTCCAGTTGACATAACTATGTATAAATCACACAGATTTGTAAAATCTGTATGAAGTAAACTGGATAAATAAAGAGGGAAATCATCTCCTGATTAAAGCTGAGCTGTTTGGTCATCAGGTCAACACATTTAAAATACTGTCTCATTAAGCCTAATCTTTTTGTGATCCAGATGAAAAGTTATGAAGCTTCTTTCATGGTCGTTTACAGTTTTCTTTGGACTTTGCCTCCTTTTTCACTTCTTTTCTTCAAACATTAAACTAAAACATGAGGAAAGTGGAGCTGGAGTCGTACTTTCAGATTTAGAAAATCTCAAGAATCCCGAAGAAAGTCTGACCTCTTGGACGGAAATGGTTGATTTGGTTCTTTTTCTAAACTGTCTCTGAAAGTCCTTTGTGTCTTTAGATAAATTTTAACTCTATAAAGGAAAATATGTAGTTGTAAAGACTCGTAAAACTAAAGCAACCAAACAATGTATTTGGTCCATTGATTTTTACAAATACAGTAGCTCTAACGTGGCAAAAGTGTGGCTCGGGGGCCATTTGTGGTCCGTGACATGATTTTGTTTGGCCCCTGATTCAAGAGAGAGAAAAAAATTTGCCCACAAAATAGAAGAAAATTGATGAGCCAAAAAAAATAGGAAATTGTTAGTTTTTCTTTAAATAAGGCAACAATCCAAAGCCATTTTAAGTTTTAGATGTTTAATAACAGACGAATTTAATGAAAACGTACAAAAAAATTACAATAAATTAACTTTTGCACTTCTAATTTAATGGATTTTGTGGCCCATTAGTACTTAAAGTTTACCAGTTTTGGCCTCAAGGGCAAAAAGTTTGGACCCCTGCTGTGGAAACTTCAGAAACTCTGGCATTCAATGAACAATAGGAGCTTGTTTTAAGTCAATAATATCAATACTAATATTGATTAAAAGCGCTATAATCAGTGAAATAATCATTTTCATCAATATTAAGGAATCGCTGGCTTAAACAAGCTCCTGCATCTTAAGGAAAAGTTACTTATAAGTTAGTTTTGTGTTATTTCAAGTTTACTAAGATGCAATAGAAACTAGACCAAAAACATTTGGTAACATTTTGTGTTTTTGCAGAGTTTGAAGACATTTCTGGAGTGGCCCAGTCAAAGCCCAAACCTCAATCTGATAGTGAACTAGTGGCAGGACTAGAAAATGGCTGTTCACACCTGATCCTGACAGAAATTTAACAGTTTAGTCAGAAAAATTGACCAAATTTTGACTTGAAATGGATTTTTATGTAATTATTTTAGGTGACAGATTTTTATTTGTTATTTTGTAGAAATTAGTTTTCACTTTGATTTTAAAATGCTTTTTTGTTGATCATTGTGGATTTTTAAAAGCAATAAACATTCAAGGAGGTGAATACTTTTAATAGACGCAGTCATACGAATATATCATATATATATATATATATATATATATATATATATATATATATATATATATATATATATATATATATATATATATATATACTTGCAGAGTCTATGACCTACTTTCATTAATTTACTTTAAACCAAACATCAGAAATAAGAGTTTTATCTCATTAGGAGACCAAAATGCTGAAGACGCTGTTTGAAGGCTGAGAAAGATGAATGAGAATAAATTATAACGCTGATGGAGAACTTGAAATAATCTCTCAATAAGACAAAAATGACTCTTCAGAGTGACTGCAGTGAGCTCAATGTCCGCTAGGCGGCAGCGCTGAGCTGCTGACTGAGGGCCGAAATGAAGAAAAGACTTGAAACGAGGAAAATGAGGAAACCCCGGTCAGGTTCTTCCTCTGTTCTGGGAAGGAAAAATGAAGGAGGGAAAAAACATTTCTACACAAGTTATGAGTTAAGATATAATAAATGATGTCAAAACGCCTCATCTGAGTGAGCGGCTGTTACGGTGTTGGAGATGAGCACAGATCTGCTTCATCAGCAGATTCACAGAAAAGAAGACCAGACACACAGGTTCAAGTTTCTGGTGACATATTAATCTTTTTGTGGAAAAAAAATTAAAAAGGGGGTCAGAATAGTTTTATTTAGTAAATAATTCAGACAGGTTTTAGATGTGATGAAGTCAAGAAGAGAAAGAAAGGAACAATCTGAGAGATGTTTGAAGTGTTTAAAACCAACTACTGTCAGTGTTTAAGTGTTAAAAGTAACCATTTATTAATAACAATTCAGTTTGACCAAAGTTCAGGGGTGTCTCCAAGTGGGGGGACCTTGGGGCCCATCACCCAACCCTATAAATCCTATAAATTTTTGGGAATTTTTATAATAAACACAAAATATTTTCTGCATGAATTTAGGAAAGTTAATTATTTATCTATGTAGTTATTTATTTACGTTGCTATTCTCAAAAGATTCGTAGATCAAGTATTTTAGGTCAAAAAATGAACAACTACAGTTTTTATTCCAATATATATCAACTGCTTCTTGAAACTTGGAAACGTGAATTTACTGTTACGAAAACATTTTGTTCTTTAATTTTGATCTAAATTTTATATTTAACTTTCGCAGCATATTTAAAGAAAAGTAGAAGTTATTTTATTGGTTTGGGTTTTGGTGTGCCATCTCAAGACTACCAGTGGAGAGACATTTTTTAAATTAATTAATTAATTTTTTAGTAAAGTCCCAACATATTTCTTGAATAAAGCTATGATCATAGACAGGTTACCAAAACCCTCACCTTAAATTGTAATGTTTTCTAGAAAAACTGAGGTGAAAATTTATCAATTATGATACATTAGGAGTCATGGATTCAGTTTATTATAGGTGGATTTTGTTTCAACATTTGGTTGGGGAAGTATGGCAAACAAATAAACACCAAATGTATCGGTGATGATACAAAACATTGGAATTAATTGTTTGATTTTGCACATTGGAGCAGTTTTAGCACCGTTTCTTTGCACTAAGAAGGTTCTGGGTTTGAATCCCAGCCTGTTTTTTCCTGCATGTTCTCCTGTGCATACGTGGTTCTCTCTGGGTACTCCAGCCAGAAACCTGACAGTTAGTTAATTAGTTTCTCTGAGGCAAATTTTAACTCCTTGAACTTAATGTTTAGCTATCAGGAAGTTCTTCCTTATGTTCAGTATTCTGATAAAACAGTAATTAAGTATGCCACTGTTATCTTGAATTCTATTTCTGTGACCACATAACTTGCTGTGGTGGGCCGGATTTGGCCCGTGGGCCTCCAGTTTGACACTGGAAAGCCATGTGTGTCGACGTTGGCGGTTCTTGCTGGAGTGGCGCCTTGAGCCCAAGTTATTTAGCTATTGAGGAAATAACTACATTTAATAATTATGTCTTTTTTAAAACCAGATGTCAAACTGAAGGCTCGGGGGCCAAATCTGGGCCACCAAAGCTTTTTATGCGGCCCTCTACTCCAGAGGCCAAGTTACATCAACCAACCCCTCTGTTTGTCACAGTTCCCTCATCGTGGAAATCTATGCAAAATCAACAAATCCCCATATTTTTTAAATTATTTTCAGCAAAAGTGGTCAAAACATTGAGTTTAAGTTATGCTAACTCTAAACAAAAACAAAAGTCTATAAATAAGTTTATATTTTTGCCTACCTCCTTTTCAAACTGTAAATATATATCATGCTGTTTGAACAGTGAATATGTTTTAAATAAACTAAATTAAGCCTTTTTGTTACTGTTGATTTAGTTTTTTATATATTATTTTTAAACACTTTAGGAGCTTTTTATACCTGATGCTGCTGTTTTACCTGAATTTCACCCTGACAGAACAATAAAGACTTTATCTACTTTAAATGAACTAGAGTGTATTCTTAATTATCTCTGATTACTGAGTAATAAACTTTATTCTCTATTGATCCATGTTCACTGGATGAGACTTACTGAAGGAGGAAAGTTTCACTCAGACCGACTTCCTGGCAAAAAGAAAAATAAATGGCGTCTCCATGCAGCTAAATACTGTCTGAGGTTTAAACAGTCAGGTTCTAAACGCCTCCAGAGGTTTTTGATGCACAAACAGCTGTCAAAAACAGAAAATGACGACTAGAAATAGTCTCTCCACCATCGTTTTGGCGCCCCCTGTAGGCTGCATGGATGATAAATTGTCCCAGAAATTATTGAAATAAACAATAATATTGTTGTTTTCACATCATTTTTAAAGTAATATAATGGTAATAGTGGCATAATAATTAATGAACACGTTCTCAGATTAATAAACTTTAATACCTAATGAACATTTAGCACCAGAACTGGAAGACATTTTAAATATACAAATCAAATAAACAAAGAGAAATGAAGTTTCTGTAAACCAAACTCTGCTTCAAAAACAGATCTGAGACCAAAACACCAGGCTGAAGACGTTTGTCATCCAGTTTTCAGCAGGAAAAACAAAGAAAACAATAAATCATCCAAATGGAAACGATTGAGTTCATTTTAATTTATCATATGACTAATTGATTTAGCATACCAACTTGTGGCGCCCCCTCTAGCACGGCGCCCACAGCGCAAACCCCCTTTCTGCGCCCGTCTCCGCGGATTGCGCTGCGTGTTTTCGGCCGCAGGTGACCGCCTCTGGAGCACAAGAAGGATGAGGAGAGCGCACGTCCCGCACGGAGCCCAGCTTCTCCCTCTCCTCCTCCCCTCAGCCGCTGGCGCCGCGCCAGCTCCAGCACGAGCCTCTCCACCTCTCCTCTTACGCCGCTTGCTGCTCACTTTACAGCGGCCCCCTCCTCCTCCTGTTTCTGACGGGAGGGGGGGGGGGTCTCCGGGAGCTGAGGGAGGGGGGGCAGAGGGGGGGGGGGGAAGATGGGAGGGGAGTCTGGGGCTGGAGGGGGGCGACGGGAGCCCTTGGCCGCCTATTCGCCTTCCAGTTGCCTCCACACTATATAAACACTCATTGGTGCCTCTGGCTGGACGCACACACACTCTTCACGCACACACACTCACGCACTGAGGGTGACTTGTGTGTGCAGCCAGCAGAGAGAGAGAGAGACGCTCGGAGAGACAGAAAGGTGCGCAGAAAGCAGAGAGGACGGCAGACAGAGAGCAGCAGCAGGACGGAGCATCTCCTGCGCATCACTGCAGCTTCAAGGATCTTAAACGTCTCCAACTGCAACGCACTGAGGCGCGTAAACCTTTTCAAATATACAGATTTTTATTTTTTCAAAAAGAGTTTTGGATCTGAATCACGCGGTTCCTGGAAGAGTTTCCCCCCATTTAAAGCAACTTTTTCCATCCCAGTCCAGAAGTTTTAAAAAGAAAAAAGTTTAAACTTTTCTTGGCCCCAGGCTCGGCTTCCCTTTTTCCCCGTGTTTTTTTTTTTATTTTAAATATTATTAATAATATTTGTCTCAAATTTCCAGACATTTTTTTTTTTACTTTATACTTCCAATTTTTTAACCCAGAAACTCACAAAAATGAACTTTCAAACACCAGGAGCGTCCCCAGCCAGGTGTGCCTCCAGCCCCAGATGTTTAAATCATTAAAGCAAACTGACTTTCGGTGATTTCATTTTTGTTTTTTCCTCTGAAGGTTTGAGATTAAAGCGTCACCTGTTGCTGCGTCTCCTCCACTCAGACAACCGCGATTTGCGCTCTGGAGACGCCAAAAAACAATCAGAAAAAGAGAACATAATCCATATCACACCTCCGCAGTTCATTCATTCCCAAAGCAAAAAGAAAAAGAAAAAAAAGAAAATCAACCCGCGCCAGGAGCGTTTGGAGTGCGTAAATCGGCGCTGCGCTTTTTACGCACAAGAAAATAATCAACAAATCAACAAAAACTTGTGACCCAGACTTTTATTTCTTTATTTTTTTGAACATCTTCGTCATCCTCCTCATCATGCTGTTCGACAGCTTCGATTTGATCTCGGCTCTGGCCACGCTGGCCGCCTGCCTGGTGTCCATGGCGCTGCTGGTCGCCGTCTCCCAGCAGCTCTGGCAGCTCCGGTGGACGGCCACCCGGGACAAGAACTGCAAGCTGCCGATGCCCAAAGGCTCCATGGGCTTCCCGTTCATCGGAGAGACCTGCCACTGGCTGCTGCAGGTAAGCCTGGACCCGGGTGGGATCGTTTGATTCCGACCCGATCAGAGGGAACTTTGCGTTTTACACTTATCCATTTGGTCAGAATTAGTGAAGTTATCAAGTTACTGATGAGTTAGTCTGATTTTTCCCCGCTAAGCTTTTCACTATAACCCGAGGCAGGAAAGTTCAAACTACTTTGAAATTATCCCGAGTTTGCAGCTCATATTTGTTGGAGATTCCTCCGGTTTGTGAAGTTTGTAGCTGGACTCGTGCTGATAAACGCATTAATCACATTAGATGCGAAGTTTGACTTAAAAGTTGATTTTTTTTGTTGTTGGAGTTATCTCCAATTTGTCAAGTTTGTAGCTTGGCGTCATGTTGAAAGATGCATCAGATTCAAAGGACGGGAATGCGTTTACATGGAGATGATGAGTTTCTGCAGCTCCATCCTCCAAAATCCCAACTTTAAAGAGCTGGAGCATCCTTTGCCTCCAGCCGCAAAGCCGATCAGAGCGAACACGTAAAGCTGGAGGAGGAGGAAGAGGAGGAGGGTATCGGTAATAATAGCGAGGATCGGAGAAATAATGATGAGCGAAGTTCACCGGGACGCGCGGAGGCACGTCGGCAGCGTGCGGGGTTTGAACTCGCGGTGCTCCCGTCGGTGCAACATCTGACACCGAAAGAGAGAGAAGAGAGAGAGAGAAGAGAGAGAGAGGAGACGCGTTCCCGGAATGCAGCCGAGGACCACGGCCAAGTTTATGGAGCGGCGACGGGAGGGGATAGGGGGGCTTGTATGTCAGTCTGATGGAGGAGGCTGAGAGTGTCTGCGCTTATGAGGTCCAAATGTCTCCGAAACGCGCTGGAAAAGTGTGGAAAAGTCCAGATTGTTGGCCGCGGCGCTGGTTCTGCAGGAGACTTTTCTTTTTTCTTTTTTTTCCTGAGGTGAAATCAGAGATGCACCGATCAGCCTTGAGTTCCTGCAAAATACCGATTTTTGTTTTCACCTAAAGATGGTTGGAAGAGTCTATTCCGTTTCAAAATGTTGTTGTTTTCTTAGAGCGGTTCCACGGCGCGTAGTTGTCCTGAAGTGAAGCTTAGAGACTTTCCTTTAACACCGGAGGTCAGGATTTTGTAAAGTGAGATTATTAGCACCTGCAGCAGATTAATTTCTTTGGGTCTTTATTTATTATAAATCCAGATTAGATGAAGCTGGAGGCTGAAATCAAAGCGCATTAAAACTCTAACACCAAAAATGTAAAAGTGGTTTGTGGGAACCTTTCAGTCGTTATTTACACAGAAACCGATTAGAGTTTATTCAGGTAGGAGACGTTATCTTTGAAACGGCAACTGAGAACAGATCATGTAAAAAACAAAGTAAAGTTGTGTAAAAAATATCTCTACTTGTTTCACACAAGAACACAATAGGTGTCGCACCGCCTCCAACCTCCATTTCCTGTATGAATAATCAGCAACTTTTAAATAAATAACCGACCAAAGCTAATTTAACGATTTCTTAGAGGTTCTTGAAATACAGTATTTGTAAACTGAAATGCTGTTTTTTTGAGTTTAGAAACCTACTTTAGTCGTTAACGTTAGCATATAAGAACAGCCAACCTGGATCTTTACTAAACAAAGTTGTTGAAAGTTTCGATTTGGCTTTGGGAAAATACCAAATAAATGCATTTTTACTCATCATACAGTGTCAAATAAAGCTCCACTTAGTAAAATGTGGTAGTTTTGCTACATTGGCTCCTGATATAAATCATAAAATTTAGATGTTACAGTTGCTGCAGTTTCCTTCTTGGCCAGCAGGTGTTGCTGTAGAAACAACTAACCAAGTCAGAGCAGAAATACAACCAGAGTAAGAATTTCTCAAACGTAAATGTAACTCAGCAGCTTTTAATCTATATATAATGTATAAAATATGGACTTTTTTGTTTGTAAGACTGTAGAACTCGACTGCAGCAGCTTACAAACATCAGTATGAACAAGATTAGACAAAAAATGAGAACAAAACTGAAGAACCTTTAAAGATTTGAAAAGGTATCTAAAAGTAGTAGTAGCTCAGTGGTGACACCTACTGTTTGAAACAGGAAGTGCAGCGATTCTAGTACATCCCAAGGTTGTGCTGTTACAACAAAGGCTTTTATGCTTTTCTACAGTTATACGAGTCAAGTTGTTCGGTCCGTTTCTCCCTGCGGGGGGCGCTAGACCTCCATTAAGTTCACAATGAGTGCCACTGTCAAGACTACAAACGTATTTTTGAGAATAAAATGTGTGAATGTCTGATTTTAGCAATGATTGAGTTTTTTTGTTGCTACTATGAGTTTTGGCCACATGGGGGCAGCAGATACGAGTTTTTAAAGTAGTAATTACATATTTTTGCGTTCAGTGATGTTCTTTGACCCGACTGGGTCGTTTTAGCCCAGGATTCCCATGTTTTGGTCCCGTTTTTGGTCGGGTGTTGCTCTTTGCGTACTCTATGTTCCAGCAGTTATTTTCTATCCGTATTTGTTTAGTTTCTGCTGAGCTTTTCAGCCAAAAACAGCACTGCTGGTGGGTTAACGGGGAACCAAAATAGTTCATTTGTGCACCGGGCGGCCAAACATTGAGCTGAAACTCGCTATGAAGAATTACAGCGGGGTGTTTGTTTACATCAATGAACAAGTGGCGGCTCTGTAGCCGCGCGTCCCGAGGTAACAGCGAGGGCTTTAAATCTCTCCCGATACAAATCGACCGGTTCGAGATTATTTTCTTTTCTCAACTCACATCCTCTTTTGTTCTGCCGCGCTCTCGCCTGGCGTCCCCTGGCACCTCGTTCAGGACTCCAACATAAACACTTAAGTGTCTAAACGTGTGTGTACAGTGTATATATTTTTACCTCGTCACACACACAGCTACATATTTCTGTGGCTGATCCATTTTAAAGCGATCTGCAGTTAGAAATAGCGGCGCGGCCACTCTGCCAAGGATCTGTCTGCTCTCATTAGGAGCCGGAGCTTTCTGAATGGACGGTGCCAAGCTACTGAGGGAGGACACACACAGAGCAGAGAATCACTTACCTACACCGGCACATTTATGCACACAAAACAGCAAGAAGAAATAACAACAATCTAGACCATTCCAGATGTGATTACTTCAAATACAAAGTGCGGTCCGGGGGCCATTTACGGCCCTCTGAGTGATTTTGGCCGGCCGAGACTAGCCTAGGTTTGGCTAGCATGCAGATACAGATTTACAAACAATGTTGGGGGGGAAATTTTTCCTTTTCCTTTCAAAAATAGAAAATGCAAGGTGCAACACAAACTACTCATCTAGATTTTTGCTTTTAATTTAATTAATTAATTCATAAAAAGGACCCAAAGCGTCCGGCGGCTTTAACTAACAGTGTTGGCATTTAATAAACCTGGGAAAATAAAGCAAGAGTGAGAAAATAAAATAATGTGTGTTTAGTTTATATAGCAGATAAAAATAATAATATATCAACCTTTGCAATTATATATAAAAAGAAAAATAATACAAGTGCATTAGGACTAGAGGTCGACTTTTATTGTATTGTGATACATTTCTTATCAAAAGAATTCCAATTTATTATCACGATAAATTTAAATTAATGTTTAACTCTCACCCCCAAAATATCCGTATTGTTAGTTTTACTATTTTGTCCAGTTTGTTCAATGAAAGTACCAATAAATATTGATTGATTTGAAAATATGATTAAATGCAGTTAGTGTTTGCAGTTTAATGATACAAATCAGGCTTTTTTAGTGATTGTGTCCTAAAAAAGTATTACAAGTGGCCATGTTCCTCAAGAGAAGTAATAAATGGTTCTTTTTGTCACTTTTATCGTTATCACAATAATAGCACAAAATATCGTGATATAACTTTAAGTCCACATCGCCACCTCTAATTTGGACAAAATGTCTTTTAATTGTTTTGGTATTTCAATAAATATAAAAAATGCTCCTAATGAGACAAAAAATAGCATAAAACCTATTTATTAAAACTCAAAATTCATGTGTCATTGATCGAAAAATGTTTTTGATTTTCAAAATGCCTGATTTTGATCAGTAATTCATTTTTCCCACCTATAGGGGGCGCACTTAGGAATCTAATGGTAATATAAAAACATTTAGAGGATAATCAGACGTGAACATTTCCTGAAACAGTTTATGATTAATCAGTCCAAATAAACTTAACAGTGAATACTTTATGCTTCCACAAGGTGTCACTAATGTGCAAAAATGCTCCATATTTTTTTTTAAAGACATGTATTCTTACAATTTTTAAAAAATAATAACTAAGTTAAAAAAACTAAGTTCTTGGTGAATCAGGAACAATTATTTGTTTTTTCTTCATTTACAGAATCTCACATTTTGATATCTATTGAAACACGTGTTTATTCGTGGTTTATGTTTTTGAATAACAGACACAATATTTTCGCACAGCTTGTTTTTATGCACAAACTGCAACAGCGACAGCTTTTAATCTGTCATCCATCTTTCCTCTAATCCCGTCAGATTGACGGTGATGAAGTGTAAATTATAGTGTGCAGGTTAACAACCGCCGCCCAGACCAAACGCGCTCTTCACACGAAGTCCTTCGTATCCTGCACCTGCTGTCAGCTCTACGCTAAACATCAGGGAAACAGTTTTAAAAATCAAACATCTTGGCTGTTTTTGAGACGCTTTTGACTTTTTTTTAATTTAAATCTTCTTAAATATAAACTGAGTCCAAGCTTCAGTTCAAAGTCACATCTACACACCTTTTAAGTGTTATTTTTTTTAAAGCTTTTATAAATCCTTGTAAAATATGATTGTAATCATGATCCTAATCATAAGTTTGGAGTCAAATTTTTATTTCACTTCAAGTTAAATTATTGAGCTGATCAGTGATAAAGAATCAGAAACTATTTTGGATCTAGGATAAAGAATAAACACTGAAAAAACGTCACTAAGCTAAAAGTTTAATTACGTTAAATACGTTATATGCTAAAATGTATTAAGTAGCCATTTGTGGTT